TGATATTCCATTGTGTGCATGGACCACACTGTGTGTCTCCATCTTCTGTGGGTGGACACTGGGCTGTTTCTCTTTATGACTGAGTGATATTCCATTGTGTGGATGGACCACACTGTGTGTCTCCATCCTCTGTGGGTGGACACTGGGGTTGTTTCTCTTTATGACTGAGTGATAGTCCACTGTGTGGAAGGACCACACTGTGTGTCCATCATCTGAGTACTGGAGAATTTGAACCCCTCTCTTTTCCACTTCCGTTCTGTTCTTTGTTGAATCAGCAAAGGAGCCAGCACTTAGTTTTTTGGTCTGAGACAACTTATTAAGCAGGCTTCAGCAATTACCCTGGAGTGTCTTGGATGAAACCTAATTTTCTGCTGTTTTTGTTTGTTTGATTGACTTGCAAAGATGCTGACCAGTACAAATATGGCAAGAATCGGGTGGAGGCAGACGCTAAACGGTTACAGAGCAAAGAGGAGGAATTGTTGATGAAGAAGGAGGCCCTCCGGAACCGACTGGCCCAGCTCCGGAAAGAGAGAAGAGACCTTCGAGCGGCCATGGAAGTGAACGCAGGTGTGCAGGACGTGGTTCTGGGTTCTAGAACCGAGGATTGACTCTACTGTGCTGAGGGAGCTTGTTACCTGAAACCAGGTCATGGCGTGTCCCAGGGGTTTAGGGAGAAGGGTCCAGGAAAGGGGTCAGGCAGGTGGGGCCAGAGGAACGTTTGTTCCAGCTTTGAGTGCTGAGCACCGGAGGATCCTTGGTCTTCCAGTTCTGGTCCCCAGGTAAGATGTAACAGCAGGCTGCTCAGCCAGAGGGCCCCTGGGATAAGTAGGCTCCCGAAGTCCAGGGAAGCGGCCCCTGCTAAGAGAAGCTCTGTTCCCGGGAGGGACTGGATGAGGGGCAGGGGAGGAACCAGGGGAGTGAGTCCAAGACCCAAGAGAGGAGATCAGAGTAAAGGCAGAGTTACTGGAAACGGACTCAGGGGTCTGACTCAGTGATTCCTGCTCACAGGACCTCAACTGAGGTCCCTGGGATGGAGATGGACCTGCATAGATGCATGTCCCCATGGCTCAGGACTGTTGTTAAAGACAGCCTGAGGAATCTTCGGGAAAGATGACAGCAAGGCCAGTCTATGGAGCAACACGCTGTAACATGTGGGGTCACGGGAGTCGGAACCAATCCACTGCAGGTAGCTACATCCATGCCCTATACACAAGCATGTAAAGGTCAAGTCAGGAACAACGCCTTATGTATGTTGTTGTCAGCTGTCACCAAGTCAGCTCCAACTCAAAGCGACCCCATAGGAAGCGCAGATGGTTCCCTAGGGTTCCTGAGACTATACATTCTTACAGGGCAGCCTCGTCTTTCTCCTGCTGAGTGGTTGGTGGGTTTGAACCACCAACCTTGTAATTAGCCGTCAACACTTAGCACACGGCACCACCAGGGGTCCTTATGAATTTACCTGTTGTTGTGAAGTGCCGTCCAGTGGGTTCCAGCCCTGTATAGGGTTTCCAAGGAGTAGTTGGTGGATTTGAACCGCTAATCTTGTAGTCACCAAGCAGCCGGCGCTTAACTAGGTGCTGCTAAAAACCAAAACCTGTCGCTGTTGAGTGCGTTCCGACTCTTACCCCCATGTGTGGCAGAAGAGAACTGGGCTCCTACATGGGGTTTCCTCGGGCATCAGCTTCACGGAAGCCTTTCTTCCATGGTGTCAAGTTAACGATCGAGCATAAACCATGCGCACTGCCGGGAACCTTAACGGTGTCTCCAGTAAGATGATGAGGACTGTTAAAGAGTCATGGACTCTCAAGCCATTGCCTCCTATTTGGGGATCAGATATCTGAGGGCCACATTTTCCATGGGAGCCCTGGAGGCCCCGGGCTGGCTCAGGGTGCTCCACACAGGGAGGGGGCCTGTGTGGCTGCAGCGTGGTATCTGGGGTTGCAGGCAGGAAGACACAGCTGACCCTGGGGGACAAGCTGAAGAAGCTGGAAGAAGACTGCAAACAGAAAGAGGCTGAACGTGTCAACCTGGAGCTGGAACTGAGCGAGGTCAAGCAGAGCCTCAAGAAGGCCCTGGCCGGCGGCATCACCCTGGGGCTGGCCATCGAGCCCAAGTCGGGGACGTCCAGCCCACAGGTACGTTTTCTGCTGGCTCACCTGCCCGCTCACTCCTTACTCTGCGGCCCATCCCTGTCCTAGTCAGGAATGCAGCAAAATGCCCCTGGTGGCTTCGGGAACGCTGGGTCATTTATTGATTGAACTTTAGGCTGTGAATAGGGTGACGGTTCACAGAAGCGGATCAGCTTTCTGTTCAACAATTCACACCGTGTGACCGTCTCTCGTCCCACGTCCTCCCTGTGTTCCTGTTTCCATTCCTCCTTCTCTGCCAGCCTTCTGATCTGAAATGAGTGATGATCTGAGGTGTGCCTGCCTCCCTGGTATTAGCATTCCCCCTATTGACCTGAGACACAGGCTGAGTGCATTTCTGGAGCTGAAGGGTGGCCTAGGGCCGCACGCTCGTGGTCAGGCACTTTGATGTCCCTGTCCTCTGCCCTCTGAAATGAGATTTTCTCCTGTCTTTCACTAATGTTTGTTTTTTTTGTTGTTGTTGTTGTTTTGTGAATTATGTGATCATTTACATGGGAGAACATTAGCTTTACATTCATCCTATCGTATATCGTTTCATTGCCATGGTTACAATCCCTTCCATGTGTCATCAAACAACCAAAGGGTACACCCTGCAAGCCTGACCCCCAGTCATCAGCACACAGCCCCTCCTCCTCTCTGAGTGCAGAGTCCCCAGCTGTTCCATCTCTCCATGTCATCGTCTCTGCCTCTATCTCTGATGTCACTGTTTCTCTGGGTAGGGTCCTGCACTCCGCTCTTCTCCCTTGATGGTTTCAGGGACCTCTGCTCCTAGACTGCAAAGTCAATTACTCCCCTCTTTTTGCTACAAAACATCTATCTTTACATTTCCAACCCTAACAGTCAGTTCTGATAACAAGTATCTTCTGTTCTTCTAGCTGTTCCAGGCTGGTCTGCTTGTCCTTTCAAGTGGAAATTTCCCATCTCGGAAGATTCTGCATGGGGATCAGGATTCCACCTCTGGTCTTATGCAATGCAAAGGCTCTGTAGAAAACCTCCTTCACTGGCCAAGTTGTAGCCCCATTTTAGGTATTCCAATCAGTTATAGGCTGAAGATGGACTTAGAAGCTTTCTATGGGGATGTTTCTGGCTATGCCTTTCTCTCCCCCTCAGTTATCTATTTTTTAATGGTAGGCAGGGGAAACCAAGATTCAAAAGATAGCCAAGCATCTTAACATTATTTCCCCTCTTTTATGCGTTCAAACTATGCCTCAATCCCTGTATCCCAGAACCCTGTTGTTCCAAGGTTGTGCATATGTCATTATTTACCTTTGTCCTATTTAACCCATGCAAACCTGCCTAAGTGTTCTCCCATCCGCCTTGTTCTTCATTTCCCCTCCCCCTTCTAGTGTATTGCCACCCACCCCCAGCACCCAAACTATCCTGTGTCTATTCCCTACCCTGTGCTCCACCTTCCCCTCCCTCACCTCACCCCATGCCATACACCTCAGTAACCAGCAAATAATTTTCCCACCTTTTAGTATGGGTACTTTTTCTTAATCTTTTACAATAGTGGTCCTATGCAGTATTTCTCCTTTTGTGACTAATTTCTCTCAGCATAATGTCCTCAAGGGTCATCCATGTTATGCGGTGGCTTGCAGCTTCCTTGTTATTCTTCAAGGTAGCATAATATTCCATTGTGTGTATCCACAGTTTGTTTATCCATTCTTCAGTTGTTGAGCACTTAGGCTGCCTCCATCTTTTTGCTATTGTAAATAGTGCTACTATGAACATTGGTGTGCATGTATCATCTCGTGTTATGGCTCATATTTCTTGTGGGTAAATACCAAGTAGAGGAATTGCTGGATCATAAGGTATTTCTATTTCCAACCTTCTGAGGAAACGCCATATTGCTTTCCAGAGTGGTTGGACCATTTTGCAGTCCCACCAGCAATGCAGGAGGGTCCCAGTCTCTCCACATCCCCACCAACATCTATTGTCCTCTATTCTTTTGAACTTTGCTGGTATTGTTGGTGTGAGATGATATCTCATTGTTGTTTTGATTTGCATCTCTCTAATGGCTAGTGATTGTGGACATTTCTTCATATGTTTGCGGGCTGCCCAGATTTACTCCTTGGTGAAGTGTCTGTTCATGTCCTGTGCCCATTTTTTAATTTGGTCACTAACGTTTTAAAGGCAGGGAAAATCTTCCTCCTATTTTCTTCCCTCTGTACCACCAGATTCTAACAGGTGTGTTTCTTATTTCTCTGCGAACAAACAACCCAAACCTGTGCTTCATAGGGTCCGAGTGGCTCCCATGAGAATGCCGGAGGTTCATGTCTACCCAGTCATGCTACGGAAGAAAATCCGGCACCTGCTTCCGTCCGATCACAGCCGAGGGAGACCCTGGCAGGCTGGGGGCCACCATGAGTCGGAACTGACAATATGGTGTGGGGGTCAGATGAAACTTTCAGAAGCACATCACCGGGCCTCTCTTCCGAAGCATGTTTGGGTGGACTTGAACCTTCAGTCTTTCAGTGAAGCACTCTCACTATCAGCACAGACTCCATCTCTTTTGGAAAAAAACAAACTAACCCCCTGCCGTCAAGTTGATTCTGACTAGAGCGGCCTGTAAGGTGGAGTAGGACTTGCGTTTGCGGTTCCCAAGGCTGTAAGTCTTTATGGGAACAGCCTTGTCTTTCTCCCACAGAGTGGCCGCCTGTGTGGGTAGCAGCCCTGCGCTTCACCTGCTGCTCCACCAGATCTTTCCAGAAGCAGGGCCCAACTTGAGGCCACTTGGAAACATAGTCCATGCAGTTGGCTACATGGGAAATGTAGTCCATGCAGTGACTCTGAAGGAATGTCTGCCCCGTGCTGAACCAGCGCTGTTCATACAGGCCCAATCCTGGGGTACTAGGGTGGGGGAGGCAGGCCCTGTCCTCGTGGGCTGAGTCCTGGGGGATCTGGGGTAGGGGTGACAGGCCCGGCCCTGGGTGCTGGGGGCACCCAGCAGGCCTGTCCTCGTGGACCCAGCAGAGCTGATGGAAACTGTGTACTGGTCACTCACCTTAGGCCGATGCCACCAGGAGTGACAGGACCCTGGCTCTTAACTGCCCACTCGGTCCTCACTGCTCACAGGTCAGATGTCATTACGTCCACTTTCCACACTGAACGGCCAGGTCTGGACTCCACCTCCTCCTGCCCGGGGGCCCCTTCACCTGCTGGCACCTTGGATGCTATCATTTCATGGACACTGGGCTCAATGACTAGCTATCTGCTCCCCCACGGGCTCTAGG